GCATTGAACTGTCTTCATAAAGCTTAAACGAGGATAAACTTCATAAAAAATATATATTTCATCCGAAAAATTTACATTATTAAATGTAACTGTTATTTTTAAAATAAACTCTCTTGCGTCAAATTGGCTAAAGGGGGAACATAGATTAAGTGTTTATGGTGCAAGTACCGTACTCGCGCGAATAAGCGCCCCTATCGAATAAGCGCCCCGAGAAAATTTCCTTAAGCGCCCCGTAATTTGAATGTAAACGCCCCTTCAATAACCCAATCAATCCTGGGACTGTGGATGTTGGCATGATTTGAGGTGTGAAGTGGAATCACATTCTCCTTTAGTCAATATCAAAGTGAGGATATTTATCTTTGACAGAATGATGAGAGCTCCCTGGACAGATAGTATTTCCAACTTTTATCTTCTTTCATTTGTCTATATCCTAGTCCTACTACTCCTTTTCCGACAATTTGCACCTTTAACACATTCTCATCTAAGTTTTCAAGAAAACCTGCAATGATCATGCCGTTCTGCTATTCTCAATCGACCGATGGCGAACAAGCTAACCACCACCACTAATTTCATCTGCTATTCTGCTGTTTATACTGTACTCACAACATTCTTGTCATGACAAGCCATGCTCTCTGGACGATTATCTTTTCCGCCGCAGCACCATTCGTAATTTGCGGTTTCCTGATGTCCTTATTTAATCGTTTTTCATTCAAAATGTGCCTCTTGGATTTAATAAGTTCTCATAAGAACCCCTCGATTTTCATTTATTTCCATAAGCGCCCCCTCAATTTTCACTCTGTTTTTATAAGCGCCCAGTTCGAATAAGCGCCCCTCAAAAAGTCCAAAAGTATTTTAAGCGCCCGGGCGCTTATTCGCGCGAGTACGGTACAAACAAAGGTACATGATTAGAATCAAATATAAAATTTAAGCTAACAAAAACAACATATCCAAAACAAGTCTACGTTATATTAGGCCTATATTGAAAAAAATGTAAACTTTTCAAAAATTCGGCCAAATTCGGCCAAATATAGTTTGGCCGTGACTTTTTAAACGTTACTGCCAGGCAAATTTTTATACTGCCAGATTTGAGGAATCTGCCGTCAAAAAGGCCAAATGGCAACCCTGATTTGGACCGCTCATCATCACTGCTCTTTTTGGTTCATTTTTTCTCTGGACAGCGCCCCCAACAACAAAGTTACTTTAGATTAGATCATTCATAGATTTTGAACGCCCCTCGAAGAAACGAGAGCCTCATTTGCAATAAACGCTCAGAGGCGTTTATTTTTCCCCCCTTAAATAGAGGCCCTCAAAAAAATAAATAAATATATAAATAAAATAACTGTAAAAAATCTAATGGAAGCAAAATCATTCTCAACATATTCTATTTATGTTCTACTCCAGTATAGTAGAATTATATTTCTTCTAACCTGGTTTGGCATGGATGGATCCAATAAGTCTTTATGTTCACGCAATAACACTTTTGACAGTGATTAGGCCCATGTTGTAGTTCCACATTTATAGCGAAATTATGGTGCTTTAAAGTTTATTATACTGTATATTGGCCTATGTATATCCATTTTACACCCAAAGAAAAATTAACGCCTCCCTCGAATAAATGCCTCGTTCGAATAAACTCCCCCTCAAAAAAACCTTATCAACAATAAACGCCCTAGAGCGATATTCGGATAAATACAAGTACGGTATTTAACAACGATGTGATCCAACTTTCACATTCCTGCATTCTAAGAGGTGTTCAAGATTCAAGATTTATTTATTGACTTGTTCGTAAAAAATATAAATGTATATTAAAATGGAGAGTTTGTTTGAATAAATGGTACATTGCCAAGTACATTCAAATAATGTATATTAAAATATTAACTAAAACACGAAATATACAATAGGCCCACGTTAAAATATATTCAATGTTAAAAAGATATTAAGTCTTTATTAAAATTATAAAAGATCCTAATGTAGGCCTAATAAAGGAAAATCATTAAATATTATTGTTGCTTATATTTCAGGAGGAAGGTAGTTTGTACGGGGTTCCCCAGAAATTAGTTCCATGTTCGTAAATGATTTTTTAATTAAAAATGTTTCCAAAACAAAACAAAAAAACTTCATGCTTCGCCGACGTGTACTTTCGGCCATGTAGATTGCTTCTTGATTGCCTCTGCTTTAGGAGCTGTCTATTTTGTTTTATTTTAAATTAATTGTGGATCGTCTGGAAAAAATAGTGCAGTATCAGACATAAGAATTCATGGAGGCCATTTGCAAAGTCTTGGGAATTAAATGGCTCACATCATGCGATCAAGAGAAACAGTCCACTTGATTTAAGGGACCAATTACCGATAGGTTCACTCCTCTGACAATCCTAAGCCAGGAGCCTTTATGTTTCAATGTATTTTGGTAAGCTTTTTAAAATGTGTATATAAACCGTCGAAATTCAAGATCAATCCATCTGTAGGCTAGACCACACGCTAGCAAAATGTTTCATAATCATGCCAAGATCTAGAATGTTCAATTTTAAAAATGTACTGTCCCATTCAAAATACCCAAAATATCATAAAAATCATTTTTAAACTTCACTTGCTCATGTTGAAGTACATAAGAATTGTCAACTTGAACGTAAAACTTAGTGTATTTAAAACATATTCACCCGGAATTTTACAGCGGAAAAATGAAACAATTCCAGTCATTGAAAGTGTCTTATTAATTATTTATTATAGGCCCTATCATTACCCAATATAAAAATCATGGTATACATTTATTTTATTCGATAATGTCTATGCCCACGTTAATACTTAGTATGGTACTGCAAAATTAGCAAGTTAATTACAATTTTTTTTTTTTTTTTTTTTTAACTTTTCGTCATTTTCAGGGGACAATATCTTTAAAAAGTCATAGAAGATTTAATGTGGGCTGAAAATGACATCATCATCATCATGAGCTTGCCATGTTAGTATTTTGCTTATTTTAAAGAGAGCCATTCATTAAGCGTTTGTAATAGTTGCTTTTTTCTGATATTTGTCATCGCTATATACCGTAATATACTGAGATTATTACAACAATAGATCGCAGTAGTCAGAGCAAGTTAAGCCTACACATACAGCGTATAAACGAACGAAGACGGAAATTAAGGTTCTATGAACAACGAACGATACAAACAATTGATAGTTCCGGGCAAGGTAACAGATATTCATTGCTTTCTATGAGCAAACCTCTGTATCACAACGCCAGTATTTTCAAAGAAAACACGGGGTTGTTTAAGTATTACTTTGTAGGAATCGTGTAAAGTAATGGCTGGATTGGAATACACCTGTAACAAAGGCGGTAAAATATTGATTGATTAGAAATGAGAAGTAAACGCAGGTGCTAAACAAGCTTCGCTGTGTCTCGCTTCAATTCCTGGAGCAATATCACGTTTATTTTCTGTGCGATCGTCATACTTTCAGGTTGTGCTCAACTTCGTTAACAAAATGTACGGCTGAAACAGATAAAATAGGCCTATCTCTTTGGAAAAGACTAATATGTCCTAATTCTTATGATAGAATTATCAAATAGGATTGTTTCATCGGACGATTTTCAAAATGTTAATGTGTTCATCAATAATAGGAATAGTTTTCATTACTGGACTAATTTTTTCTACTCTACCTCTCTGTCAAACGTACAGTTTTAGAATTGTGCCACTACGGCCTAGTGTCGTGGAAGGAGGAACTGTTAATTTGGTTTGCGAAGTTTTAAACACCAATGAGGATGAAGAGTACATTTTCATATGGGAAAAAGACGGTGAGATTGTTGCTGGAGAACATTCGGTTATGGGCCCAACGCGTCAAACAAGACATCGCATGGTGGCTGACCTCCTCTCTGAGGAAAAACGTTTCATGTTTCTGCTGAAAATCGAACCTGTAAATGTAGAGGACGCTGGTGAGTATTCCTGCTCAGCAGAAGAGAGCATGAAGGTACGGAAGACGTCCTTGCAACGCGCGGTACTAATGGTAAACCAAGTTCCCGGCTCGCAGTATCCTAAATGCTTGTCTGAAATTGATGGTGGTTTCCCAGAAGGCGAAGAGGTTACAATAACGTGCGTTTCAGAGCTTGTTACACCGCCTGTTACTCTCCAGTGGCAGCGCGATGGACAGTCAATCCCTACAAAAATCGAAAATAATGTGAAAGAAGGTCTAATTAAAGCGCATTACACATTTACACCAACGCCTGATGATAGTGGCAGTAAGTTTATCTGTGACATGAGGTCATCTGCGATCAAGCCATCTAAACGTCGACAATGTGAGATCAATTCTGTGGTTGTTTTGCACAAACCAATAATACGAATTCGCTATCCTGAAATCGTGCACGTGGGTAAGGAATCAATATTTATATGTGAGAGCTTTGCAAACCCCATACTGACGACCTATGAATGGACTTTCTCGTTTAAATTGTCAGAAAGGATACTAATTGATGATACTACACATCAAATACTGCGACTTCTGGAACCTTCACTATCAGACGATGGAGCCCAGATTACGTGCATGGCCACTAACTCTATCGGCACGTCATCCTCAACTGTGACAATGCACGTACGCAAAGAAACAGCCACTGGCAACCAGCATACAACAGATGAGTTAATAGATGATGGTATCTATGATTATAATACTGGAGGGTATTTTCTTGGTGTCCCCACGTCAATTGCGATCCTAGGTTTATCTGGAGTCGTCATTTTCTTACTATTTGTAACTATAACCCCCGTCTGTTATTGCTGTCTGTGTGGAAGACGGGTGTCCTCAAAAGAAAGCATAGCTCAACCAGATGTTTACATCGAACCGAAAGACTCACGGATTCTTCCCCAAGTCCCGACGTCCGACGACTTGGCACCCTGGATGAGATCTGTCGCATCACAAGTACCAGACGACTGGGACGTGGAGTATTCAGAGATTGGCGGAAAACCCCCTCCTTTAAAAATCGCAAAATGTTCTTGTGTGTGAAAATTACTGATCTTACTTTGCAAAAGAACTACAACGTATTTTGGATGCACGCGACCCCAGTCAAGTTAAAGTGTTCGCACAACTGTTGCTTTGGCGGATCAACACAAGTGACGTCCCTTGAACTTACAAACATCGTTTGCTTTCCAAATATATATTAGTCTTAAAATGTTCTTGAGTACAGATTTTAATGAAGATAGCAAGAGGCTACAAATCTCTTCGGGAATTTAAGGTCTAATGTTGAGCATACCAAAGGGCCTATTCAAATTTATGAAATTTCTGGTATCACATAATTCGGTGTTTATATAAATTGATTATTGCAGAATGCTGTTAGTTGAGATATGAAGAACTGGTATTGCATTGGTGAACATATTGCATATCGTGCGTAAGTGCCAATGAATTTCAAGACAAAACAGTAAATGTAGGTCTGTATTCATATTCTTAAATTAGAATTATGAATAATATGTAATGCATCATTCTTTATTATAGCTTCAGTACCGTACCGTAAGGAATTGAGTTGCCATGATCTGAGCTTAAGGCCTATAATAATAGAAAGTACGTACACAGTTACTAGCTTGAGGAGTTTAAATCGCTGTGATAATTACCGTACGACTTCTCTGTGTTATTATTTCTACTTAAGCCGATTTAACTACAATGAGAGCACCGACTCAGTGCAGACGGCGTTTGTGAACGGGAAAGCAGGTATCTGAGGCGGTTAATTTTGGTTAGTGTTGAAATTTTAGTACAGTACTAATAGGTCCATTAGCATTTCGTTAACGACTTGTTAAAAATTATTTGAGGAATTATATTGGCTCCCTAACCCAAGTGGCGGTGTCAGTGGATAGGGAACCCTCCCCTCCCCCGTCGTTACTACTGTAAGCCCCCCGTCGGACATGAATATTCAAACCATCAAAATCAGAAAAAATGGTTTAATTGTTCACAAATTTTTGGAGAACACAATCTAAAACGAACACAATCTAAAAGGAACAGCTTAAAATGACCAAAAATTGCCCAGTTTCTTTAGGCAGCAGAGGGTTAAACCTCTGGACCACCACATAAGGTCTAATCCCCTGGCCCACGCCGGAAATTAGTACTTTCTCCTCCCCCACCACAAATATTGTCGCCGCCACTGGTGTAACCACTCAGCTGCTTGGAAGTTGATGGTATGGATTTCCTACATCAAGGTCTTTATTCAATATTATTAATATAGATAATATTTATAATAATAAAATAATTAAACTTTCTGTACTCCATGTTAAGAATATGGTTACTGAGACAAAATCTGATGGTATGGATTTCCACTTAAAATTAATAATTCAATATTATTATTACAGAAATAATATTTATAGTAATAAAATAATTAAACTTCCTGTACCCATGTTTAGAATATGGTTATTGAGACAAAATCACTGGATGATTGTCCCGACGTTTCGGTGAGATTGAGAACGAAATCTGACCGTCATCAGGAGAATTTTCTGATGACGTCAGACTCACACGCATCAGATTCACACACATTGTGTACCGAAAGTTTAATTATTTTATTATTATTTATACTCGCCACCTCAAATCTTCAAAAATAATGTTTGCATACTTTAAAATAGTTGCAACTTGATATTTTTGGGTAGACCTATGTATGATTGCCAGGTGGTTTAGAAGGTCGATTTTATTTAAAAACGTCGATGGGCTGCGTTTGTAAATTCTAGAAGATGTTGCATCTCCGATGACGGATAATGGGTTCTGAATCAAAAAACGTAGATATTAGGCCTGGAGAATTTTCTTTTTTTTTCCGTAATTGTAGAACTACGGTATACAACCCATTAAAAAAATCATGGGGAAACGTTAAAACTCAGTTGAAGAACTGTCGGTGTCTCCTTAGTGTATTGGAAACTATACCGTAATAGGCCTAGCACAGATTCCAACAAAGGTAATAGGCCTACGCACAATATTACTTAAGCGTTTCGTTAAGGTAATTACTGATTAACCAAACTAAAACATTATCAACATAAGCCTAATACAAATCTATTTTCAACTTTCGGGCTCACGTTCCAATATAAAGCAGTGCGGTGATATGATGATAATCAGACAGACTTAATGCTCTATAAACTTACAATCTGAATCCTAAAGAGTGGAGTTGAATTTTGCACATTTTTAAATACTGATCGATCTGTGACGTCATCTTACTGTTCGACAATACATAAATGAAACCTATGATTATATTCTCTAATGTTAATATAATATAACGAAATAGTGATTTTTATACAAAGGTGTATTATTATTATTATATACATTATTAAATGTAATGTATACTCAGGCTATCATGCTACTACTACATGTACTAATAATAATAATTATTATAAAATGAAAAAAAAAAAAAACTACTTTCAATCCAATTCAATTCAATTTGATTAACCTATCTACTAGAGGTAAACTGTATATTCATTTACTTATGTAGGAGGCTTATTTTATGGATTTTTCTTTTTGTAAGCCACGGTAGGCCTAAGTTCTAATCATGATAATACCGTTCCATTGACACGAACAGCATAATTGTGATATTTTTATATTATTTCCATTAGCATTCAAATATTTAATGCATTATGTAAAAATTATTTGCATTGCATGTTTAAGTTGTTGGTCATATGCAAAATATAAATACTGATCAAAGATTTTAATATTTTGAAGACACTAATTCGCTCTACAATATTATGCACTCGGAAAACAAGCGTTTTTGTGATTTTATTTCTCAAAGTAACTATACAATATATTTTCTTGCCATTAAAAGACGAATTAAATGCATGCAGTAAATAATACCGCGTCCCTAATTCTTGCAGTGTGGTGGTAAATAAACTGCTTTAAACTGTCTCAACTTATTTTATCCTTTTAAATTAATTTTTTTTTCAAGTTTTAGCATAAAGGTTCCGAGAGTAAATTAGTTTAGTATAGTACTTTGTGTTTCAAATCAATAATCGCATGTGTTTTGATAACAACAGGAGACGAAAATTAATCAATTTCATCCAGATGTTTTTATAAGTTTCTGTCGCCACTTCTCATATCACTGTTTTTCCAAGTATATCTCATTAAATATATTGCTTCATATGTTTGAAGACTCAACATGTCTATGTGGCCTCTCATTGTTGTCTTGTGTGGATGAAACCACACTACCCCGACCATAAGACTATCATTAAATGTATTTTACCTTGATTTATTTAGACTTACAGCAGTATCTTTTCGGAGACCCCGTCTTGTCGTTAATGCAAAGGAGATAGGTACTACTGTAATTGGATATCTGTTGTATAGTGCATCATAAACAAGGGCCAGTGGCGTAACAACGAGTCAATGGTCCGGGGGCGAGAAAATGTTAGACCCCTTGCATATCAGTTTTTATTTTCGCTCACAAAGTGGCGGGGGTGGGTAATCTCCCTAGAGATAATTCTTAAGGCTAAAATAACTGCATTTAATTATTAGACAATGTCAAAAAATGTGACTATTCAGAAATATAATAACAT